ACTAAAAAGATAAAAATATAAATATAAAGGGATTAAAATTCTGCTGTTAGACAAAGCAAAATTACTTTTAAATTTGATATTGGCAGCGTAGCTCTGATATAACACTGCTCTCTGGTGGTTAAACACATGCAGTTCATCTGCAGAACGGACCAGCCTTTTCCATCAATTCTTTTCAAAGTTTTCAAATATATTTAATTCTAAGACATTTTTTACTGATGAGGGGTTTGGGGCAACCAAGGGGTGACAACTCCACCCCCGCACACTGTGCCCCCACCTCTCTAAAGAAGGAATTTAGGCTCCTGCTTTTGGTTCTCTGACCCATTGAAATGAAATGCTTAAATTAAGCTTAAAAGGTATGAATACTTCCATCCCGATAACTATCAAAATGAGAGTCTAAACACTCCCGCTCACATGCATAAATAATCTGCTTTTAAAATCTGTTTCAGCTCTCCAGGCAAAGAGCCTGAATCAAAAAATGTAAGCAGGAATTAAAATGTAAAGAGGACCAGAAACAGAGCTGGAACAAAAGCACCACATCGTTTTTCTTTCAACATGCATAAAAAATAATCAAACTCCCGTTGCAGAAGGAGATCCTGCTGACAGGATTATTGGGGAAAATAATGAATCTCAAAAGAAGGGCCTTTTGATTATTATAATTGCTTATTAGAACTAATGCTCTAAACAAAGAATACCATGGAAACTAACGTCTAGCACAATCAAAAATATCTCTGCTAATTAGCTAAATAATAGCTAGATAAAACAGAGTAAAGTTATGATATTGCAAATGAAACTACTATTCTAATCTCCAAGTACAAATCGTGACGTTGAATGTAAAGAAAAAGATCTCTCCAGCAACACAGAATGTTTTATAATCTTAATTTTTTGCTAGGATGGCAAGTTCAAACATCTCCTGTAGGTGCTTCCACATGAGGGAAGGACAAGGGGTAATGGTTTTAAACTGAAGGAGGGAAGATTTAGGTTAGATGTTAGGAAGAGATGCTTTGCTGTGAGGGTGGTGAGACACTGGAAGAGGTTGCCCAGAGAAGCTGTGGCTGCCCCATCCCTGGAGGGGTTCAAGGCCAGGCTGGATGGGGCTTGGAGCAACCTGGTCTGGTGGGAGGTGTCCCTGCCCAGGGCAGGGGGATGGAACTGGATGGTCTTTAAGGTCCCTTCCAACCCAAACCAGTATTTTGAAAAATAATGAAAAATTTCCCTCTTTATACACTAGTGATTTTTAACAGCTATCCTATTCCTTCTAGTTAAGCTACACACTTAAATCTTCAAAAGCTCCAAATCTTCAAAATGAAATTGGACAATTTAAAGTGCACTGAGCATCTCTGACAGAAGCCCCCATATCCTACTGTGGAATTTATTTATTTCCAGTTTTCTTGAGACAGAACTACGTTTGTTAATCACGACTTGCTGACAAATCGGATGGTTCAATCGTGCTTTCTTGTAATACCCCCTCTCTTATTCTTTTTAACCTATTTCTTTTACCCCCTGAGGATTAACATTCTCTCTTAATAAACCTTACACCATGAAAAGATGAAAAAATCTTGAAGGAGGTAGTGACCAAGAGAGTCTGACTCTGCCAGCAGAGGAAGAAATACTGAGACAAGAGAGGCTGGGGAAACAACTGAATGGAACAGAACTGCAATATATGAATTATACAAAATGCACGATGCCGCATACAAGCAGTAAGGCAAGAAAGGGAAAAAAAAGTGAGTACATTTATTGAAGAAACACTACAATAGCTTCACTATTCAGTTATGTAATTTAATATAAGTACTGCAAAGATATAGCCAAATGAAAAGCATATATCCACCTTGCATAGATTTTATCCTCGAACAAAGATTTTCAAAAGTTTTGCAAGGAAAAATGAACTAAAAATGAAATTGGACAATTTAAAGTGCAGTGAGCATCTCTGACAGAAGCCCCCATATCCTACTGTGGAATTTATTCATTTCCAGTTTTTTTGGAGACAGAACTATGTTTGTTAATCACAACTTGCTGACAAATCGGATGGTTCAATCGTGCTTTCTTGCAATACCCCCTCTCTTATTCTTTTTAACCTATTTCTTTTACCCCTGAGGATTAATATTCTCTCTTAATAATCCTTACACCTTGAAAAGATGGAAAGAATCTTGAAGGAGGTAGTGACCAAGAGAGTCTGACTCTGCCAGCAGAGGAAGAAATACTGAGACAAGAGAGGCTGGGGAAACAACTGAATGGAACAGAACTGCAATATATGAATTATACAAAATGCACGATGCCGCATACAAGCAGTAAGGCAAGAAAGGGAAAAAAAAGTGAGTACATTTATTGAAGAAACACTACAATAGCTTCACTATTCAGTTATGTAATTTAATATAAGTACTGCAAAGATATAGCCAAATGAAAAGCATATATCCACCTTGCATAGATTTTATCCTCGAACAAAGATTTTCAAAAGTTTTGCAAGGAAAAATGAACTAAAGTATAAGCTGTGAAATGAAACCAAGAAAGTTTCATGTCCTTTCAAAAACACCTCCAGAGACAGAAATCAGTATTTTAGAGCCTCAAACAAAAATCACAAAAGCAAAGATTTTAGCAGGAGTTAGCGTTAACTAGCTAGTGATAGTTATTAACGGCCTTGTAAATCTTGTAGCTACCATTTAGACTCTACAAAGTCAATTATGAATTTTTTTTTACAGGTACTCTGAAAGAATTTGGTGATTGATACCTACAATTACACTTCAAGGAAGTTTCAAGAAAAATTTTCTGGATCTGGGAATAATTCTTCCCTTTTACCTTGTTTGGAAAAGCACAGCCTGTGAGCTGACACATGAGCAGAAGTTTATGAGACAGCAGGCACTAGCACTGAAAAATAAAGGACATAAAGCAGGATAAAATAAATAAATGTATGTAATAATCTGCTTGGTTTTACAGTTTTGGTCACCGTCAGTTTTCAAATTCTAGAGGTCTACCATTAAAACTTTAAGAGAAGAACGTTAAGCTGCTAATATTAACATTATTATTATTTAACATTGAAGAATAACAAAATGTTTATATTTATAAAAGAAATGAGATTACATAATCTTAATATCTAAACAGATAAAAGTATTATCAAGTCATTCTTCACAAATGCCAGTGAAACTACACGTAAGACGGATCTTTTACAAAGCAGTATGTTCTCAATGCCAAATGTGTTAATTAGGATGAATATTCATGCCCAAAAGAAAAAAAAACCTCATTAATACTAATATTGAGGACAGTGCTATTCAGAAAAAAGCTGCATTTTCTCTTAGAATTGTAATAAGGACTTGTATCTTAAAATAAGTGAATGTTATTAAATCCCGCTGTTGACTGAGGGCAATATGACCATCAAATTTTTCAGTTCTAAATTGTGATAAGAGGAAAAGATTGAGGGCAGTGAATATTGTTGCATGTTCTCTGCTGTGTCTTTCCCCAGAAACTCTGTACCTACAGAGATGTGACAGATTATCTATCAGTTGTCCCTCCCAAGGGGTAAGTATCTGGCCACCTCTTGTGTTTTACAGGAGTTTGTCAGCAAATGGTGATAGTCCAAGAGTCCAAGTCATTAGTCTCCTCATAAAGGGAATCTCAAATCTCTTAGGACCTCCTAGAGAAAAAAAATTTGAGCGCTTTTAAACAACCACATTTTATTTTCCCTTACAGCCTTATTTACTCAAAACATTGGAAATATTTATTCTTGTTTCCAATTTTATTAATTAAAAAAAAATAACACACACCACCCAACTTTCATTCCAGAGACCTCCCCGGCATCTCCTGAGGAAGAAATCCTACTCAAAACTTCATCAGGAATGGTAGGAGAATAAGTTTCCCAAACTCCTTCAGTGACAAAGGCACATCATTTTACTGTTCCAGCAGGCCACCAGAGCCCTAACTTTCCTGAGACTCTTCATCCCTCCCCATATCACTCCCACATCTCTGCACATTGTATTGGCCAGGGACCTCATGTAAACAAGGTTATTTGTAGGTAAACAGGGCACAGAAAAACATCAGATGGATTAGGGACCTAGAACATCTCTCTTACAAGGCAAGGCTGAGGGACTTGGGTCTTTTTAGTCTGGAGAAGACTGTGGGGGGATGTGATCAACACCTATAAATAGTTAAAGGGTGGGTATCAAGAGGATGTGGCCAGCCTTTATTCAGTGATGCTCAGTGACAGGACAAGAGGTAACAAACTTGAACATTGGAAGTTCCATCTCAACACGACAAGGAACTTCTTCACTTTGAGGGTGGCAGAGCCCTGGCACAGGCTGCCCAGAGAGGTGGTGGAGTCTCCATCTCTGGAGACATTCCAAACCCACCTGGACATATTTCTGTGCAACCTGCTCTGGGTGGACCTGCTTTGGCAGGGGGTTGGACTAGATGATCTCCAGAGGTCCCTTCCAACCCCATAGCATTCTGTGATTCTGTAATGCTGCAGATGTGCATTTTTAAAAACGGAAAGAAAGGGATGGTCAAACTTTTCGGGACAGCGAGAGGAATGGGAGAACGTGATAATGCTCAATAACTACTAAATTACTAGAAAAAACACATCTAGGAGACATGGTTTTAAAAGCATAAAGTAGCGAGTCACTTCAGCTCCAGTTTTAGTCAAAAGATAACTTTTAAAATTCAAACAGAAGGACAAGATTTGCACAGTAATTTCTTACAACTGTGCAAATAAGACTCAGGAGTATGAGGGAATCCAGCTGCCAGGGTACTCTGTGTGAGTGGGAAGGGGAAGAGAAGACACAGGAGAGACAAGGGACACAGTCCACGGTCTAACTGACAAGAGTTTGGGTGAAGTGCAGCTATTGTATTATGAGCCACTGCTTAAATTGGACATAAATAAGGCACTCCAAGTATTCTGAAGCTCTGTTTTAAGTCATTTTAGATAATACAATTTATTTAAGAAGTTGTCTAATACGGGCAGCTCTCAAGATACACAAAACCAGTCCGCAGCACAAAATGTCACTTCCACGCACATCTATGATATAAAGAAAATTTTATTTTATGAACTCTCATGAACAAAACTTCATACGGAGACGCCAAGGAGGGAGTTAATGTTATTTACACATGGAATTTACACTGTATGCTAGCAGATCTCTCTACAAGTTCTTTATCTCAGAACACCCCCAATATTATAGGCATTTAACAGATGACTTGCAGTTTACTTACAGTGTGACAAAGTTTCAAACATAAAAGTTTTATCTACTGACCCCCAATAAGTTAGAATACTGTTTGCACATGGAATATGGAGTTGCATCAGCAAACTGCAAAGAAAATTGAGACAATTATACTATTCTAATGAAACAGTATTAGCTGCCACTAATGACATACAGTCAGTTACATATAACACACTATTTACACTGAAGTGCAAACCTCAGCTCCCACCCCAATCATTATTTTCCATCCACACACATTTTTTCCTGCATTTCCCAGGTTTCACACACACTGCTCCATAGCAATAAAAATTTTTTTTTTTTTTTTTTTGGTTGTGTGCATCACATTCATAAGTTTGGCTGCTGGGAAACTAAGAAGGAAGAGGCAATTTTACCAAAACCCTACAATCCAAACTCCAACAGCACAGGAGAGACATGTTCAAGAAAACATTACAGCACCTGACAGCAGTTTTGAAGTGGACCCGCCACTTATACACCCTATGAAGTTTCCTCAGAAGCCTCCATCAGTTAAATATGAGCTCTCACTTTCCACGTCGGAGCCTGTTTAACTTCACCAGTTGTTAGGAGGCTAGATTTCGTATTTGGCTTCAGATTGCAACATCCAACCTGGGGAACAAGGATGGAAATAAACAAAGTTACACCCAAGATGAACAAATGAGAAGCTGTTTACAATGAGGAAAGTTGGGAAGAGTTGTGTTTCTCTTGACATGCTGGCCTTAAGCAGCCTCTCTCTTCTAGGACTTTATAATTCAGCTATTAGGTCCTGGAACAAAAGCTATTCTATAACCAAGCTGCTCCAGGATGTAACTTTGATATTTTTATCTGGAATCAGGCATCTCAGCTATGCAATGGTCTGCAGCATCCAAAATACAGGCTGTTTTTAACAAGTTTTCCTTTCCCCCCCAAAGTAAAAATTAGAAAGACCACAGGCAAATTTATTAGGACTGCACCAGAGCTGTTGACTTACTACAGTCTGTAAAATATATACTACGTTTCACTTGCAAAATACTTGTGGCAGCTGAAATTAAAAAAAAAAAAAGCCAAAATATTAATGCTACGTTTCACTTGCAAAATTCTTGTGGCAGCTGAAATAAAAGAAAAGCCAAAATATTATAGCTGGAAATAGAAACACATGCAATTTTCCTTAAATTTTCACCGAAGCAGGTAGCTACATGCATAAGTGGCAGCCTTCAAAGAATGTCTGGATTTTCATTATAGGTTTTGCATCACGGGAAAGGACTGTAGTGACAGTACAAGGAGTAATGATTTTAAACTGAAAAGAGAGGAGTTTTAGGTTAGATCTCAGGAAGAAATTCTTTGTAGCTGGATATAGAAACACACGTCATTTTCCTTAAATTTTCACTGAAGCAGGTAGCTACATGCATAAGTGGCAGCCTTCAAAGAATGTCTGGATTTCCATGATAGGTTTTGCATCATGGGAAAGGACTGTAATGACAGTACAAGGAGTAAAGATTTTAAACTGAAAAGAGAGGAGTTTTAGGTTAGATCTCAGGAAGAAATTCTTTGCTGTGAGGGTGTGAGATGCTGGAAGAAGTTGCCCAGAGAAGCTGTGGTTGCTCCATCCCTGGAGGGGTTCAAGGCCAGGCTGGATGGGGCTTGGAGCAACCTGGTCTGGTGGGAGGTGTCCCTGCCCAGGGCAGGGGGGTGGAACTGAATGACATAAAGGTCCCTTCCAACTCTAACCACTCTATGATTATTTTTTGTCCATTAGGCTAACAAATGCCACAATCCAAATCTTTATGTCACTCTTAAGATACAAAGATAGAATTGCTAAACAGAGACACGCAGTTTAAATAACCACCACCTATTTCTATCCATCTCATCCCAGCAGCTCTGAGGTTTGTGGAAGTCTCTAAGAGATGACCATCACAATCACCTTAGTCTGATGCCCTGTCTACCAGACTGTTCTTGTTCATGGCAAAAATCTGTATTTTTCATGGGCTTTGCAACAACTTTTGGAATCACATCTCATTCTGGCTAAAGATGCAAACTGTGTGGAAATAGTGTTATCTCAAAATAAAATATTACTTTCATTCTAATTTCTGAACACATAGCATGCGTTAGTCAGACCTCTCTGTACCGTCCTAGCATCTTTATTAGTAAAATTAATTAGTATTAGTAATTTGACACAGTTTCTGTGCATGGATATCTGCCAGTTACTATCAAGCAAATGTCTATAGTTCAATCACCTATATGCTTAATTTTTAAGGCCAGTCTAAGTTTTTCCTCTTGGTGAATTTATAAGTGTATTTACCAGTCAAATCCACCCCAAGATAATTAATCTTTGATATTCTCTGCCTTGATTAATACTTGGAAAAAAAAGCAACTACCCAAGCTGATGCCTTAAAAACATTGCAGAAAAGTTGTGTACTCAAAAACCCTGCAACTATCCATGAAAACAGAAGTCATTTCAAGAATATAAAAACATCATCTTATAATAAAAACATACCAGTGAGACCTCTGGACTGGAAAATGGGGAGCTATCAAACGATCGATTTTCTTTGTCCAGGGAATCATCTTCTTCATCATTTTTATGTGCAAATTTTCGCTTTAGGGCTTGAGTTAGTAGAGCAACTGGATCCCAATCTGAACTTTGCCTCGTTTTGGGTCTAGAAAGAGGAGTACCTCCAGGGGACCTACAAAAAAAAAGAACATTATTGACTCCTACCCTTAATCCTTTCCTGAGTGACCCAAAACCCAAAGACACAACTTCTGCATACACCCTACGCTACTAACCATTGAATATACAAATAATGTTGCTAATGTTATTTTAAAGCAAATCACCAAATAGGACTAATACAAATGCACTCAACAACTTGTCAGACAGATTCTTGGCCTGAAAATACAACTTGATACTGTTCCATAAAGAAAAACAGCAGTAAATCAAAACAAAGTATTAAAGTAATGCAAATAATGAGGGGGGAAAAAGCCAAAACATGCAGTTTTCATAGGAGGTCTCATTTGTAAGTTATATTAATGTATGTTAGTGGGAATTTCCCACTAACATATTTCATAACCATTGATTTAAAATTCATCAATTTTAATTTCAGAACAGTATGCCTTTCTGTGGTCTCACAAGAATGAACAATGAGCAATTATATTTAAAAAAAACCCACCACTTTAAATCAAATATGCAGCCAGGTGACCATAAACCCCATTTATAAGCCACACTCAAGTTTCATTATCAAAAAAATATAATCAGATTTGGCACAAAGGCTTCAAAGACAGTTTTAGAGCTACACATAGATGATTCCCCCAATTGCACTAATTATTTTCAGGGATAAAGCTCACAGTTAAGAAAAGGCTGAAATTAGAAGGCAGGAAGTTTTGGTAAACAATGTTCTCCTACATTAAGAGCTCCAAATATTCATTATAGACTCTGTTGTTCTTATATACTTTTTCAACTCAAAAAGTTGAGAAAAGACATCTGACAAGCTCTATTACACCTTGCATGGCAGAGCAACACTGACCCAAAGAGGTACTGCAGTCTTCAATAATGCATTTTTGTAACATCAGCTGTGCTTCCCATCGAAACAGCAGCCCACTAAAAATATTTATAATCCAACTGCACTAAATACAAGTTTACCAAACATTTTCAATAAAAGATACAGCAAATATTTTCTGTAACACTTCAAAGCCAGGACCAGGATACTTTGGGTATGTTAACAGTAGTTTTCCAATGTTTCCTCAAGGATTTGAGGAATCCTTTCCTCATTTTCACATTGAATTCCAAAAGTTTGTTTGTTCAGGTCAATTTCCTGTGACTGTGCAGGCATCTTTGTAAGCGATGGCCAGAGCAACACAGCCACCTCCCCATCCCAGCCTGAGATTTGTGTACCACAGCAGGAGACTAGTTTTAAATGCTGTGCTTTAAATGCATCTAAAAGCTACGTCCCAAGTATTTTACATTCAGTTGCTCATTAAATAACATTTCACATTGGTGTTCTCTGGTGCTGCTTAAGGTCTGGGATGCCCTGGATTACTCAGACACGAAGTCAATTCAACCTACCTCTCAACAGCTTTCAACTGAACCTTGTTTAGGTCTTTCAGAACATCCATCATACTAGGAATGTTCTTTGTCCTCTGGTGGTCAGTGCTGTCAGCTGTAGATGAACCGCTGCTCCTCGTAGCACGCCGCTGTTTTATAAGTTCAAGTGCTGAATTAGCAGCATCAGCAGCAGATGGTGCAGCAGAAGGAAGTGGAGGAGGAGAGGGAATTACAAAGCGATCGTGAGGCACGGACAATGGTGTAGAAGTCATGGCTGGCACTGGGAAAAATCCATCTGGAGTGCTGAGGGTTTTAAAGGCTTCTGGAGGAACTTATAAAAGAAAAATAGCGATTTTATTTTTAGTCAGTCCACCTTCACCGTTAACAATATTAAGCAACATTTAGGATTACTCAGTTTTAAGTTTAGAAAGTCTTTTAAGAGGGCTGTCTCACACACCTCACACATTATACCACACAAGAACTATATTTAAAACAAAGAATTGTTTTAATGTCAAATGCACAGATTCAAGACACGTGAAATAATGTATCTGATGTGTCTTGTGCTGCCCTGATTTTCTCCATTTGTGCCTTCTATCTAAGCACTAGATAAATCAGCAAAGCAGCCTGCTACTACATACAGTTCATTCTCACTGGTCTGAGCATTAAAATGTCCCACATGAAGCAAAAAGGTAACCACAAATCAGGCAAAATAGACTACAAAACTGAACACAATGGAGAAGAGACAAAAGAACACCTAAACAAAGCACAGAGGTGAAACAGCTGTTTAAGTTCATGTGGCACAACACACACAAATATGAACTCCCTCACACCAGTTCAAATGCTTCAACAATCACAGTGCAATTAAGACAATCAAGACCTCAAATTTGGTTTGGGTTTTTTTTGGGGAGGAGGGGGGACAGGAAAATAAAAAAAAATAATAATATCACAAGATAGTTGGTCTCCAATTGCACTGCAATTTTCAATACTCTAGTGGCTGTTAGCCACACCTATTGCAGCATTTCTTTTTCTTAATGCCCAAAGCTGACTTCCTTAGAATACTTTTTTGATCCATTATTTTGAGAACTTGTCAGAAACAGCACAAAACCCAAAAAGGGATAATTAACAGTCTGTAACTTTTTTAAGCAGGAGTTGATAGCCTATGGATAGTGCTGTTACTAAGCTTCTTCACAAACAGGGAAACGAGCCCAAAGATCAGTTAGGATCAACTGCACTGAAAATTGGCAAACAGGCCATAATAAAAAAAGAAGTGGGGAAAATGGTGCCAAATACTGAAAAGAGAAACAAAATACCATATTCTGTAAATTCTGTTGGTGTAACTTCAGTTAGAGAAATTAGAGGTGTTCTCTAGCAACATCAGAGCTGGCAAGTCGTGGAAAGAAACTCTAAAGCCAAAAAAGGAGAACTGGTTTCTTTCAAACCAGAAGGGCTTACGGGATGGAAAGCTTCCCAGTGTTTGTGCTGAAACAATGGCAGCGATCTGAGCGCGAAGGAAAGTCAGCTCATCTTCAAGTGCAGAGATTTTCTGGAGCGCTGCTTGATCAACAAGACTGTCTTTTTGTGTACTGTTTTGGGGAACATTTTGTATCGAAATACATGGACGGAGCTCACGATGAGCTGCGCTTTTTTCTTTTCTCCATAATTCAGTCCTAGAAAGTAACAAAAGACAGAGTTTCAAAAGGCTCAGCCAGCAATGGAAATCTCAAAACTTGCTCACTGTCTGTTTGAGCAAGTTGTCTTTATTCAGCAAGACAAAGTTTGCAACCTATTTAAGAAAACTTTACACTTTTAAAACTACTCATAACCTTAAAAAAATACATTAAGCCTCCCTTTGCTCAAGTATGTTGCAGATCCTTGAAGGGTCATCATAAAAAACAGTCAGATAATTTATTCAGGATTATTCATCATAAGGTCATAATATAGGATTGAGCTGTTATGATGCAACAGCTCTTAGACTGACACCATAAAGGTGTATCTCCCTCCTCCCTGCCTGAAACGGTAGATATGAAAGGCAGGGAGATAATAATGAACATAATAATAAACAATAATAAACTCAAACTATGAGGATTTCGTTATGAAACAAAGAAAGAAGTTAAATTTACTTTATTTATTCAAGATTAACTAAGTTTTGATTGAAACAAAACCAGGCCTTTTCCCTTACATTAATCATCCATTGACTTCAAATCAGACCTGCAGCATTGCTTTCTGATTTGCCAAAAACCCTTGCTCCTTACACTGGCTCAGAAGGAAAAGATATCAATACATCCCTCAGAGCCAGTAGAGGAGGAAGAGGAGGAGGAGGAAGAAAGAATGGAAGTTACAAAAGAATGAACTTTCATGGATCTGTGGATCAGACTGACTGAAGAACAGCACAAGCAAGACAAAACAGGCCACAGTCCCTTTTAACAATATTCTTATTCTTCCAATATTTTACAGCTGCTGGAATAAAAATCTTCCATAATTCAGTCACAGAATCACAGGGGGTTGGAAGGGACCTCTGAAGATCATCTAGTCCAACCCCCCTGCAAAACAGTAACATCTTTCAACTCAACAGTAACATCTAGGGAATGATAACGAAACACAACTTTATCAAAACTTTCTAATAAAAATAAATGTGTCATTTCATCAATTTTCTGTAGTTTCATTACCAGCAAGCAGCACAAAAAATAAAAAATTCACAGAAAAACACATGCCAATATGAAGTAGAATTACATTGTCCGACACAAATGTAGTACAAGACAACACAAGTGTCTAAACTTTAACCTTGGTTCTGGCTGACTCATCCTCTGCTTTTGAATATATCCTTTAGAGGAACACTGAGCCAACTTTCTATTTCTTCTCTAACAGGGGGAAAAAAACAGGGAAGAAAAAAAACCAAGACTTGTATACTATTTATGTCAGCAAATTCCTGGAAAATTTGTCATTTCACAGTACTTGTAATATTTTATAATTGTAAAAATATTTTCCTTTAGCACTCTGTAAAAGCTACAAAAAGTCGTAAAACTATATTTAAAGTACATTTTTAAAATAAAGAAATTATGTATTTCTTTCCATCAAAGCAACCGTTCCAGGTTTACACACATGGCACTCTGGTAATCAAACTCAAAAGGAGTCATTTAAGTATTTTTTTTCTTGTTTTCCCCTTTATAACATTTACCAAAATGCTTGTAAACTTAAATGATAAATAGAAGAATAATCTTATTGTGTGTTGCAATACACAAGTTCCCCTTAAATTTCTTCTCTTGCAAATCACTTTTTGAGTGAAAACAAATTAAAATACCATATGATACACTATTAGGAAGAGAAAATAGAAGACTCAATTTCAGAAATCTACTTTTTGAGTGAAAACAAATTAAAACATCATGTGATACACTATTAGGATGAGAAAATAGAAGACTCAATTTCAGAAATCTTTCAGGTAAGAATAGTACAGATAGTAAAAATTTTCATGTAAGCACGAATTACCCCCCAGAAAAATGTTTCCAGGGTTGGTTTAGCTGGAATCTGAAAGGGTTAGGAAAAAATAAAAAAAAAACCAAACAAACACAAACCCACAAAGCCAACTCTGAAAGGGTTAGGAAAAAATAAAAAACCCACAAACAAACACAAACCCACACAGCACAAAGAAGGGAAGATGTGAGTTACTTTTATTACCTCTTTTTATGGATATATTCTACTTACCTAAGTCTAGTAAATGCTTGTCCCTCATCATTTGCCACCCACAGGACATCAGCAAGTGATGGAGCTACAGGAGCTGGTGCTACGCTTTGTTCATCGTAACCCAACGGACTTGGGTCTTGAACAAGCTAAAAACAAGCAAACAACAAAAAAAAAGTATGAAGAGAAACCAGATACAGCACATTCTAAAAGCTCTGCCTCAGCAACAGGAGTTTTTGAGGAGTGCTGAAGCAAGTTGAAAACAGTAAGCACAAGGGATGCAACACAAGAGTTGCACAAGTTAAAAAGAACAGGAAAGCTATCACTAAATTAAGAAACTAGAAAAATCAAAGAGCTGAAACATATATATAACAACAAATGGCTTACTTGAAAATAAGGTCTTGGGTAGGGCTCTAAGGAAAGAATTGTCCCAAGTCTACGGACAACGCTTCGAGTAGATCCATATTCCTTTTTTTGGCAAGCAGATACGACCTAAAAATCAAAATAGCTTTTAATCTGAGAAGCAAAATCAAGGCCCTCAGTTCTCACAATGAAAGTTACTAAATAATTTAATGTTATATGTAATTAAATATAATGCAGTTAGGTTATTCTAACTTTTCAATGCTCTTCTCAAGCTGAAAGTTCAAACTGGTTCAAACACTGGTTTTAACGGACTGTTTCCAAAACACTGCCAAGATACAGCCTGTACCCAGCATATTTTAGAGTGGCACAACGGCCAACAAAGAATGTTACTAGTTACATGACGTAGCAGCTACATTCCAAGCTACTGACAAAAAGAAATGGTGCACGTTTGAGTAACCACATGCATCTATATATAAGTCTCAAGGGAAAAAATTAGTAAAGAAGTGAAATAAGTTTCATGTACCTTGATCTGATACTTCCTTATAACTGCACATAACTGCTGGAAATGCCTACTCGATGAGACTGCTGAAGGAAGGCATGTTCTGATTATATGACAGATACCGTTGCCGAATACATGAGTTTCCAAAAATATGGCCTGTCAAAAAAAAAACACAATATCAAAATCTCAAGGGAAAAAGTTAGTAAAGAAGTGAAATAAGTTTCATGTACCTTGATCTGATACTTCCTTATAACTGCACATAACTGCTGGAAATGCCTACTCGATGAGACTGCTGAAGGAAGGCATGTTCTGATTATATGACAGATACCGTTGCCGAATACATGAGTTTCCAAAAATATGGCCTGTCAAAAAAAAAACACAGCACAAGAAGTGACCATGGTGAAAACAGAAAACAACCAGGATAGCTCAAACTGACACTCTTAGAGATACGTTAGTAGTTTCACATAAATAAAGCAAGAATCTCCCGAGAACTACAAGCTGCAGCAGTGCCTATTAACCCCCATCACTTAAAGCTGCCCATGAACTCACACTGTAACATCATAGAATGGTTTGGGTTGGAAGGGACCTTAAAGATCATCCAGTTCCAACCCCCTGCCCTGGGCAGGGACACCTCCCACCAGACCAGGTTGCTCCAAGCCCCATCCAGCCTGGCCTTGAACCCCTCCAGGGATGGGGCAGCCACAGCTTCTCTGGGCAACCTCTTCCAGTGTCTCACCACCCTCATAGTAAAAAATTTCTTCCTGAGATCTAATCTGAATCTTTTTTCTTCCAATTTAAAACCATTTCCCCTTGTCCTATCATTACCCTTCCTGGCAAAGAGTCCCTCCCCAGCTCTTCTGTAGGCACCCTTCAGGTATTGAAAGGCCGCTATAAGGTCTCCCTGGAGCTGGCTGTTAAACCTGTTGGGTCCATACAATGCCTTTCCCAGGCCTCTGAAAACACAGGACTTGAGAATTGTTGCATAGCCTGTCACTGAAATGGCAAATTGTCAACAGCTCAAGCCACTGGTTTGTTTTTTTCCCCTCTTCTGTTCAGATAAAAAATAACCACTTGAATGGCTGAATCACTATAATGACCCCACAAAAACCCACATGCAGGCAGCGCGGCTAAGTATAGAATCATAGAATTGTCTGGGTTGGAAGGGACCTTTAAGATCATCGAGTCCAACCATCAACCTAACTCTGATAAAAAACACATCACTAAACCATGTCTCTAAGCACTATGTCAACCCATCTTTTGAATATCTCCAGGGATGGTGCCTCAACCCCTTCCCTGGGCAGCCCAGTCCAACCCATAATAACACCTTAGTGAAGAAATTGTTCCTAATATCCAATCTGAACCTCCCCTGGTGCAACTTAAGGCCGTTTCCTCTTGTCCCATCACCTGTTCCTTGGGAGAAGAGACCGACCCCCCCCGGCTACCCCCTCCTTTCAGGGAGTTGGAGAGAGCGAGAAGGTCTCCCCTCAGCCTCCTTTTCTCCAGGCTGAACACCCCCAGCTCCCTCAGCCTCCCCCCATAAGACTTGTTCTCCAGACCCCTCACCAGCTCCGTTGCCCTTCTCTGGACCCGCTCCAGCCCCTCAATGTCTTTTTTTGTGGTAAGGGACCCAAAACTGGACACAGCACCCGAGGTGGGACCTCACCAGTACAGGGGGACAGTCACCTCCTGAGTCCTGCTGGCCACCAGTGAGTGGTCAAAACGCTCCCATATCAACAAACCCAACGGCACGGGGCAGAGCCCGCCCTACCGCAAGCGTGAAGCGGCTGCAACCACGACGGCTGCGGAGAAGAGCCCCCCCATCCCCTTCCCCAGCACCATCAGGTCCCCGGGTACCGTCTGGGGGTGAGATAACCCCCCGCCAAGCCCCGCCTCGGGGCCTCACCTGGTGGGGCGGCCAGCCGAAGTACTCCAGCACCCGCCTGAGGAGATCCACCACCAGCGCCATGGCGGCCGCGCGCGCTGCAGGGCGGAAAGGGAGCTCGTGCAGGTGCACGAGCCACCGCCGGCCTCCGCGACACTCCCACCTCAGCGGGCGCAACCGGCGCCCTCCTTCTTCCACGGAAGGAGGAGAAGCGGTTCACCGCTTACTTATTCCCCCCCTCACCGCCGCCGGCCGGACCCCCGAGCCCCCGCCTCAGGCCGCGGCCGGCGGGCGCAGAAGCCGCCCCGCAGCCCCGCTAGGCCGGCCCAGAGCAGCAGCACCAATCAGGAGTAGGGGCGGGGTCAGAGGGGAAAGCACGCCAATAGGGAAAGGCCGGTGTTTAGCGCTGAGCCAATAAGAGGGGGAAGGCGAGGCGCTCGCGGGGGGTGTCGGGAGGGGGGGAGCAGGTTTGAATGGCGCCGCGACGGGGCCGGGAAGCGCTGAGGGGGGAGCAGCGGCGGAGGGAACCCCGACCGGAGGGAAGGGAGGGATAAGGGGAAGGAAGAAAGGAGACAAAGGGCCTGGCCTCCTGGTCCCCACTCGCCCTGGAGAGTGGTGGGTGAGACACAGGTTGCCCAGAGAAGCTGTGATGAGGGGAAGGAAGAAAGGAGACAAGAGCCTGGCATCCTGATCCCCGCTCGCCCTGGAGAGACACTGGAAGAGGTTGCCCAGAGAAGCTGTGGCTGCCCCATCCCTGCAGGGGTTCAAGGCCAGGCTGGATGGGGCTTGGAGCAACCTGGTCTGGTGGGAGGTGTAGAATGTGATTCATGATGGGTCCACGCAAAGGAACTCAACTGAACAGGGATGTTCTGGGTCCTCCAGGCAGTAAACTTGTAACTAGCTCCTTCTGAGAATCAAAAGGTAAGATGGCAGCAGTTTCAACACACAAAGTATCCTCAAAACACCAACTGCTCGGCAGCCTCACTTAAAAATAAAAAAAATCTGGCTTTGCTCTTAAGAGAGGCTATTTGATTTTTATCTTGCTTGTCAAGATTCCTGCTCTTTTGCTTAAGAAACTCTTAATCTTCAAGACAGACAGGAGTGAGTCTTGTAGGTGCTTCCACTCAGAAGAAATGTGGAGTTCTTTTACCCCCAATTTCTTTCCCCCCAACTTCTTTCAAATACCTGATTGTGCTGTTCCCAATAATGCTAGTTTCGCCAAAGTTTTGAAGGAATTAAGATAAATTGGAGGGAGGTCATTCTGCCCCTCCACTCTGCACTGGTGAGGCCACAGCTGGAACACTGTGTCCAGTTCTGGGCTCCCCAGTTCAAGAGGGACAGGGAACTGCTGGAATGAGTCCAACATAGGGCAAAAAAAGATGATTAAGGGATTGGAGCACCTCCCTTAAGAGGAGAGGCTGAGCGAGCTGTGACTCTTTAGCCTGGAGAAGAGAAGGCTGAGGGGAGACCTTATTAATGCTGACAAGCATCTAAAGGACGGTTTGAGGGAGGATGGAGTTGGACTCTTTTCAGTGGTTCCCAGTGACAGGATGAGCGGCAACGGGCACAAGCTGGAACATGGGAAGTTCCACTCAAATATGAGGAAAAACTTCTTTCTGGTGAGGGTGGCAGAGCCCTGGAACAGGCTGCCCAGGGAGGGTGTGGAGTCCCCTTCTCTGGAGATCTTCAAGCCCCACCTGGATGCCTCTGAGTGATGTGCTCTGGGCAACCCTGCTTTGGCAGGGGGGTTGGACTGGATGATATCTCCAGAGGTCCCTCCCAACTCCAACAATTCCCTGATTCTTAGGCATTTTCTTTATTCACATTTACAGATGTGTCTCAGCAACAGCTCCTCAACAAAATCCTCCAACCAAAGCACTTCCTTGCGATGCGACTGCTACTGCCTTTTCTTCTCACTACTGTTATCCCTAACTTGTCCTGTGGGTTTATTCTCCAAGACCACACAGGAGGGAGGAACAGCACGGCTACCACAAGCTGCCATCACACCATAAAGCCGTTTTAGGGGCCTGGGAGGAATTAAGATGGGGAGGGGAGGACTTTTTAATGGATGTTGTACTACAATACACCTTAACAAACCCCACTTCTCACTCACTCCTCCACCACCTTCCTACTAAGGAGGGGGGAAAACACCATCAGACAGGCACAACCACACACAGCTCTACTGCAAAGCCAGGAACAGGCAGAGGCTCCAAAGCAACAGCAAAACTGAGGCAATTTAGTTTTAATTGGCACCACCAGTAACAAGCTGCTTTGGGACTGGAGGTGCCAGTTGGGAAATGTTTCAAGTCAGCAGGTGCAACTCCAACCAGCTACAGGTGGGACCTGTGGGATCTCCGTAACAGCAGGATTTTGTGAAAGGGCAGCTTTAAGAACAGAGACCAGCAGGTGCAACTTCAACCAGCTACAGGTGGGGCCTGTGGGATCTCCATAACAGCAGGATTTTGTGAAAGGGCAGCTTTAAGTGACAGAGGAGCCTGATGGTGCAGCCTTTAGCTCTGGAGGTAAATCAAAGGGCTTCCTCTAAAGCAAAAACTCAGGCAGAGATTCTTTAATCATACGTAGCTGCCCACTGTTAAGGTAACACCTACTGATCACTTCTGGGAAGGAAGATGATGGGAGATTTGATGCCAAAGCAAGAAACTGAATGAGCACAAGAGTCTCTAAACTACCAGTATAGTTACTGGTCATTTTTTCCTCCCCCTAGTGAAATGAATATCTCATTTTCCCTGAACTGCAGGGGAACTTCAAATTTCATGACCACGTCACGCAGAGATGAAGCAGATTCAGCAAGCGCTGCGTTGCTGGAGAGCAACCAGTGAGAACAAATTACTGAACTCAGAACGTGGTGAAACATTTTATACTGGTAGAACACCTGGATTTTCTTCCTATGGATCCATCGATGGTGGTGTTATACCTTCTCACCTGAGAAATGCAAGATGCTCTCCACTTCCATTCACAGCAGGCACACAACCACTTCAGCAGCACCGAATGGTAACCTCAAAACATGTTTTTCCTTATCACAGCAGTGAAAACTCATGCTGAAGGAGTAGTAAGTACTAAAGGATCTGCTTTGGATTTAAAAAAAACCCAAAACACTGAACTCCCACTTACAGTGAAAATTCATGCTGAAGGAGTAGTAAGTACTAAAGCATTCGCTTTGGATTTAAAAAAAAACCCAAAACACTGAACTCCCACTTGGTTTCTGTTTCCTATGGATCTCTGATAGACTGCAACCTGCATCTTCCGCTACTTTACCCAAATTCAAGCAGGTTTTTTAAATAAATGAATTTATGGCTGTCCCCATGTCTTCTGTAGTCAAAAAAATGACATTTTTAACAAGCTACACTAAATTAAGGATAATGAAAAAAAAGGATTTTTATGATCTAACCTACAGATAGGTCTGTAGCATCAAATGCCATTATCAAAGCAAACTCTAACGGATTTCCTTGGACATTCAAGTGAAGCAGAAAACTTCCATCTGCCTCATCACGCAGGAACTCTCTTGCCTTATGACACACAGACCACAATCCACCTTGAACTTGACCTGGGTGACACAGACTATCTGTTCTTAGGTTACGGTAGTTCAAGTACATCTTGGTTTTATCTTCTAGTTTCAGACTGATGTTAAATTTAACTTCATTAGGACAGACTTTGACACCACTGACAAGTTTATTGTTTTGATCCTCGACAGTACTACAGTTTCCTGCCTTCTAGTGTTTAATTTGAATAGGGTGGATGGTTAACTACTCCCTAACAGTGAAGTAGTAAAAGAGCAGAGAATCATAGACTGGTTCGAGTTGGAAGGGACCTTAAAGACCATCCAGTTCCACCCCCCTGCCCTGGGCAGGGACACCTCCCACCAGACCAGGTTGCTCCAAGCCCCATCCAGCCTGGCCTTGAACCCCTCCAGGGATGGGGCAGCCACAGCTTCTCTGGGCAACCTCTTCCAGTGTCTCACCACCCTCCCAGCAAAGAATTTCTTCCTGGTATCTAATTTCAATCTCCCCTCTTTCGATTTAATACCCTTACCCCTTTTCCTATGGCTCCACTCCCTGATCAAGAGTCCCTCCCCATCTCTCCTGTAGCCCCCTTCAGGTACTGGAAGGGGCTCTAAGGTTTCCCCAGAGCCAGGCTGAAGAACTCCAACTCTCTCAGCCTGTCTTCATAGGAGAGGTGCTCCAGCCCCTCTGATCATCTGCATGGCCCTAGTAATACCTGACTGATCTGCTCTAGACACAAGCTACAGGAATCAAGGTAGCTGTAGGTAGTTACTAACTACAACTAACTGCAACTTACTGCAACTAACCACAGAGATGGAACTCCAGTTTTCAGATCTGCTTCAAAGTTTCTAGCATCAGGGACTTAGAAACAGGTTTCTAAAACTCATGTTCCAGAAGGGAAATAATACACTTGAAACTTACTTGAGTATTTATACACGTATGTATTTCTTGGGCTACTAAAGAAGAGTGACAATTTCACTCTCAAAATTCTTGCTGCACTGTCTAGCACAGTGGAATACAAATCCAGGTTGATTACTGACACATTATCTAAATGTGATTCTTGTCAACTAACGTAGAACCAGTATTTTGCACAACTGGTTTGGTTTGTACTTACACTACGACTGGATCACTACCCTTAAACACACGTCGTACAAAAAGGCAACACAGAAGTAGGAATCAATTTATAAAAAATGCTGCTCCAAGATTTCGGGTGTGCAGAGCTGTAAGTTTACTTCAGAATAAAACACAGACATAGGGGAGAATCAAAACTTTTAGAGTTGTACTTGACCATATATTTGGACAAAGCAGAATTACACTGCATATAACAAACAGTAAAATTTCTTAAAAGTTGTTACAAATATTTTACTTTCTACCTGTACGATCATTAACATAGTTTACTATATCAAGATTTTTTTCTAAAGGCTTAAAACAAAAACAATCCCTCTAAACTACTTTCCAACAGTAAAATTTAAGTAAAATGCTTACATTCATTTGACAACAAAAAAAACATATTAAAAATGTTGTGTGGGTGGTGCAAGAGCTGCTCTTTCAGCTACAACTTTCTTCCAGGGTTATTCCTGTGGAAAGAAAGAAAGAAAAGAGTCTTGTTGTGAACTGTTAATAACCAAACTCCAACTTTTTAAGTGATTCCCTCCCACACCCACACAATTATTTGGAATACTGCAAAATA